CACTTCTAGCTTTTTCTGTTTATGTGGTACTGAGGAACCAAACCTAGGGCTTCATGCATGTGAGGCAAGCACGCTGCCAACTAAGTCACATTCCCAGCCCATCTTCTTGGATTTTTAATTGTGCTTCATATGGTTATGTTACTTCTACAGCAGAAAGATATGTGCCAGAATGTTCTTGGCCATTTTATTCCACAGATCCCCAAACTGGAAACAATCCAAAGAAGTCACCAACAGAGGAAAGGATGAGTTGTAGTACATGGATGTGACTAGAATATTACAATGCAATGAAGGGGAAATCATTGCTAGATGTGGTAATATGGGTGAAAGTCATGATGTAGGATGAGCAAACAGTATACATTATACAAGTACATTTTGAATGACTCCATTTCTATTTAATAACAGGCAAAAGTAATTGAATGTGTCAGCCGTCAAAAAAGTGGTTGCCACCGGGCACTGATGGCTCACACCTATAATACTAGCTACTCAGGAGGCTGAGATCTGGATCTGAGATCCAGCCCAGGCAGGAAAAGCCATGAAACTCTTACCTCCAATAAACCACCAGAAAACCGGAAGTGATGCTGTGGCTCAAGTGGTAGAGCACTAGCCTTGAGCTGAAGAGCTGAGGGACAGTGCCCAGGCCCAAGTTCAAGCCCCAGGACTGACCAAAAAAAAAAAAAGTGGTTGCCTTTGGGGCATGGGTAGAGCACAGTAGCTGGGAAAAACAGAAAGGAGCTTGCTGGCATGCTGGCACTGGGCTACATGTTGACACAACTCATGGTTATTCATGTACATGGATATGGTCACTGAGGATCTTACATGGTACTTTAAAAAGATTTGTTATACTTAAGATCTGTATATGTTATTTTAGGTTTGTTACACCTCTGCAGGCCAGGAACAAAAGAGAAGGGGGAAAAAGGGGAGGGAGAGAAGAAAGGAGGATTAGAGAGGAGGAAGAGGGGAAAAGAGAGTGGAAGCCTATCTAAGCTAGAAAGCCCTGGAACTGGAATTCAAATCCCTAAAGTCTGAGCTCTCTCTAACCACTTTGCTGCCACACGGAAACCACATTTGACACTGGCCAAGCAGTATGACTGGATGGAATCCTTCTCCCAGCTGCTGGCAGACTCCTGAGGTGCTAGAGTGAGGGGATCCATAGAAAAAAAGAGAAGCATCTGGAGGTGGCCTAGGTTGAAATCTGCCCATCACAGACAGGGTGGCATTGGGTGAATCCTTCTTTTGGGGCATGCTTTTTTCCCATGGAGGAAATGGGTCTAGTAACTAATGGTGTTTTCCTTGAAGGGCTGTCCTGAGGACTCAATGAACCATAGCTGTTACTATCAAACCTCTCAGGGTAACTCTACAGAGTGACCACAGTGACAGAGGTGGCTTCACAATCACCTTCTTATGCATGACGGAATATGACCAACTGTCTTAAAGTGCACCTAATGAAATTACACCACTGGAGCAATGAGAAGAACCCAGGCCTCACACTCAGGGTCTGTCATGCTATGACTTAAAGGATGAAGACTTAATCAACACCCTTATAAACTAGCAGGGACAGGACACAGCTGTCTGGGTGAGCCTGCTGGCTCTGCTGAACGGCCTCATGTCTGCTGGCTCACAAGATCTGCCCCACTCTGATGGAGCTGGCTGTAGAAGTGTTCTGGCCTAAGCTTTCTTCACGTTCTCTAAGACATGACTTGGCTCACTCTGGACACCTACCAGCTGAACGGCATCCTTGACGCCATGGATTGAGAGCGCCTCCTGGGTGAGGAGGTGAAGAATCCGGTTGCTGTGTGCAGCCTCCTTCCCTCCTTTGAGTAACAAGCCGTTACCACTCGCAATAGCCAAGGCGGCCACCTGTAGATCAATGGGAACAGCAGTGATCAAAGGGAAAAACAAGAGAAACAATAATGTGAGCATTTGCCCAGCACACTGTTTACTATGCGCTCACTTTCACATCATCCCAGGGAATTAAAGTTACCCCACTTTAAACCCAAGCCCAGAGAGGGCAATGATGCCCCACGGGCCTCATACTGAGGAACTAACCTCTACGGCTTCCTCAGTACCATTAACAAGCTGACCTGAATTCAGTAGTCAGGGCCATGAGGCTCCTAGCCACCTTGGCCACCATGAGGCCAAAGAAGCGTTTGCTTCACTTGATTCTGTCCCGGCTGAGCAGCACTGTTGGGCACATTCTATTCTGATCCTGGAATTGGTTTTCATTCGTTTTGTTTGGTTTTTGGTGCTGGAGATTGAACCCAGGGCCTTATACATACCTGGAAAGTACTCTACCACTGAGTTACACCCTAGTACTAAGAGAATGGAGAAGACTGGAGCTCCTGTCAGCCCCGGACAGTCATGGAGGAGAGGGAGCATGTGCTATGTGTGGTCTCCTGAGAGATGGGTTAGTTACCCTCCCCAAGCAGAGTTAGTGACACCAATCCTAAGGTTGAAGCTTACGTTTCTGAATTCTCTTGGGATAAATGATTTCATAGGGCAGGGAAAACAACTTTACTAAAAAACTGTTTGTCCACGTTC